CCTTTCCACTGCGCTGAACTGAATTCTTTTTCTAAAAAGTTTAGAATGCACCTTTCTCATTTTGAAAATTAGAATGTTAAACACTAGGGTCACAGAATACAGATAATGGACTCCAACCCAACATGATTCAGGAGGTTTTTCTCTGTCTCCGTCTTTGCCTACAAAGTGCAACTCATCATTTCAGGTTCTTTCCAACAGGATTATTCTTAGGCCAATCCTGCTTAATATTTTTCCAAGGCTTCAGATAGCTGAGTTCGTTTATCATCCTCTTCTTTTCTTTCTTTCTTTTTTTTTTTCCTAAAAAGGCAGGAAGAGATGGGGAAAGAAATCCCAGCTATGTAAGTTCCTGGGTGCAAAGTATTGCTGTGGGCCCGGTGAGCAATCAAAAGCAATTTAAAGAGGCAATTTCTCACTCCTAAAGAGATAAAATTGCCACACAGGTTAATGCAGATGGGCAGGAAAGGGACCGTCTGCATGGGGGACCTTCCATAGAGAGAGGGGCCTTTGGGGTTTACTCAAGTGCAAACAAGAAGCAGCAAAGATTTAAAGACAACGGAAATAATGTCTAATACCTTTAAATTCAACTATGGCGAGTGTAATCACCTTCCTAAGGACCTTGTGGATGAAATTGTGTGTGTGTGAATGTGCTATCTAGTTTCATCTTCCTTGTAATTCTTTATTTTCTCTTTCTTTCATTTCCTTATTATTTTTATCCTGTTATACTGTGTGTGTTTTGTAAGCCTTCTTAAATCTTTTTTTGGGACAGGAGTGTTAATACGTAAATTAGAATTGATTGTATAGTATAAATTTCAGTGATTTTGGTTCCACTATTTTAAGGTATTATTTTTGTTCTCCAGATAGTTCCTTTCAATAGTATACTGCTCTTATTTCATGGAAGCAAACTGTTTCTTCTCTTGTCTCTCTGGGGATATTAATGATAATTTTTAATTATTGTTTCTTCGCCATGCACAGTGTTTCCTCAAGTTCTTTTTCTCCCAGGTTATAGGCTTTTCTCAGATATCTGGTGATGCTGAGTTGTCTGGTTGGGATGCTAAAGAACTGCCTGGAAGCACTGAGTGGGTGGGTGGGTTTATCAACGGGAGCTTCACTGTGGAGTGGTTGGAGGGGATGCTTGTGTGGCAGCCCCAGTGGCAGTGTCTCTAGGTCTTTCTCCTTTTCCTGGTCATCACCAGAAAGGCCTCTCTGAGCCTCCAGGCTGGAGGGCAAAGTCTAGGCTGTCAGCTTCTGGGAGCTGAGCAGAAGAGGGCTGGGATCTCAAGGGTAAGCACACAACATTCTGTGTAAGCATAGCCACTTAATCACCTTCTGTGCAACGACCCTCAGCTGTGCTGGCCAGCCAGCCCCCACCTGAATTTGTAGACCTCGGTCCTAAGTACTCCCACTCCACCTCGGGGGCAGGGGAGTGGGGGTGTCCCCCAGTGGTGCGGAATGGGTGAGGGGATCTAGGGATCCAGTTCCGTCTCAAACAACTCCCACCAAATCCTTGTTTTATGTACCTTCCCTCTGTTTAACCACCTGATCCAGAGGGACATGTTGGTGCCAGTTCATGAGCCTTTCGGGGATGCGACAGGTTGGTTTTCATCTTCCCAGCTGCTGGCTTTGGGTTTGGCTCTCTGGGTCTGCTAAGTCAGCTACGCTGTCCTTCAGCTTTGCAGTTGCCATCCTTCTATTGTTGTCACCTCCTTTCCTATTTTCCCCATCCTTGTGGATTCATCTTTAAAAAAAAAATCTCTTAACTATAGTTCTGGCTTTACTGGGGAGCAAGAAATGATACACACATTTGTTCAATCTGTCATAACCCAAAAGGTCTTTTAATTACTTTTATTTTCTCACACAACCCGATAGCCCAACTCACTCTTCTTTTAGTTCACTAGTTTGAGACTGTTTGTCAAGAAATTACTTAACTTCTTTGGATCTTGCTTTCTTTATCTGTAAAACAGGAATATTTCTTATCCTACCTACCTTATAATTGTTGTTGCAGTTGCCCTGAGTCACCACTTAAATGTCAGGACAAAATAACCGGGGTACATGCACAGCCCTGCAAAATCACGGGGTGACAGCGAATATCCTCCCAGGTCAATGAAAATATGCAGGCCTGACCTATGGTTTTCATCCTTCTTTCCAGATCACCAACTTAGCAGGACCCTCAGCTTCTGTGGACAAAGCCGTTGGGAGATAACAAAGTGCACGTAATCTGTGTTAGAGGCCACAGCCCCTCCCTGCCCTGGGACACAGATGGCTATTGTTGGTCTTACAACTTTTGGAAGAGGAATTATTCTCTCCATTTCCCTGCCTTTCTGCCTTTTCCTCTCTTTTCTTATAAGTAAAACACTCTGCTTTCCTCCTCCAACAATGATAACCTTCCCTCTTTTTCTGATTTGCATTTACCACTTCTTTTCCTCCCAGCCCTGGCTCACGTGGATGTGCCTCACGTAACACGTTATCCATCCATCCTCCAGGCAGTACCTGTGCTCCCCCATGGGTCTGCAGAGCCCAGGGGACCAGGAGGGTCTTCCAGTGAGCAAGGCTGAGAGCAGCAGGGAGGGGTTCTGGCTTCAGCAGGGTCATCAGTCTCCAGTGCTGCCGAAGGGGCCAGGATTTCCCCTGGAAACCCTCCACGCACTGGAAAGGGAACCAGCTGTTTCATAAGGGCATAGAAGAGAAATTTCCTGACCTGCTTAAGGGGATGTAAACTTCCTTTACAGTGCAAACACCCTGGCCTCTCTTTTCCTACTCCCACCGCCTCCTTGCCCTGGACAACAGTGGAGAGTAGACACAGCATTGGCGGCACAGTGTCCCATTTCCAGGAACGAGTCCAAACATTCACATGGCAAGAGGGGACCCTTCTCCACTGAGGAGGCAGCTCAGGTCCAGCTCCCTGGAGGGTCTGTTGTGGTGCCAAATGCAGAAGGGACTAAGGCTGGTGACAGAGGAGAAAGCATTGTGGGGAGATGGAGGGGAAAGGACGACCATAGGTGGTTGTGGGCCCAACTCGCAGGAATGTTCCATCCATTATTGCAAGCTGGCTGTGGATGCATGAGCCAGGAGCCTGCTCAGGGAGCACATGCACGTTTGAGGGCTGTGATCAAACTGCACTCAACAAAGCTTCCTCTGACACGTGTGGCCCTGTGAGCAGGGCAGCATGATAGTTAGGCGTCCTTGGCAGTTCACATAAATGACTATGATGAGTATTACTTTGACCTGGCTGGGGCAGGCATTACCGGGTCAGCGGAGGCAGGACAAAGGAGAACTGGGTAGAGCAGGAACCTGCTTGGGCCGCTCTCGGTGGACTTCTGCCTCTGTGACAGGGCCTGTCCTGCTTCCTGTCCAGGGCCCTCCTCAGCAGGGGAAGGCTCAGCTGCTGCTCTCCTTTGCCCGCCCCCCCCAACTCCCCAACCAGCTTTCTCCAGGGCTGGGGGGCTGCAGGGTCTGATCTTCAATGTCAGAAGAGGAGCATGGACCAAATCCCTCTCTCATGGGGACAGGGTCTGGAGGTCTCCAGCCAAACTGCACCAGGATCTGCCGTCGCTCCCGATGGGGTGACTGGAGTGAGAGAGGGGTGGGACGCCCTTGTGAGGTATGTGGATCCCGAGGTGTTCCCCACAGAAACCTGTGGTGGTATTCATTTCCCAGGGATGTAAAGAGATTGCGTGCTCTTGTGTTATCTTCTGCTGTCAGGCACTCTCCCCTCCACCTTCCCACTCCCTCCCTCCCTTGGAGAGAGAGGAATGCCCACTGGGTCCTCCAGGCTGCTCTGGCAATCCACTGCCCCACCCCTTCCCCAGAGCAGAGGTCCAGGCAAATGGCTTTGCTGCTGTCTGGAGTCCCATTGGTGGCACTGGTGGATAGACTCAGATGTAGGTGGATGGACTCCACCCGGGTGACAGAGGTGGCCAGGGAGCTGTGGGTGGGTGGGTGCTGGGGCAGGGGAAGGAGTTCATGAAAAGGGGTTGGGGTGTTACCCAGGAGGCAGTAAGGAGGCCAGATTCCAGGAAAGGAGGGTGAGACTGATGGGGTGGGGTGGGGGATGGCTGGAGGACAGTGGGGGAGCCAGGCGGAAGCTGAGCCAAGCAAAACGCTGAGTGAGGCTGACTGAGACGTGACAGTAGCTCTGCTCTCTCCCTTCTGCTAAAAATACCACTTCTCCAGACAGCCCTCCTCCCTGCACCCTCACCAGGCTGGGTCTGGCAGGGTCAGTGAGACGTGGGGCAGGGAAGGGCCTGACCTGGAAAGCTAGTCTGCCCCGGGGTCCAGGGGGCCTACTCAGGGGCTCTATCTGAAAACAGGAACTGTGCCTCCTCACCCCTCAATCCCCTCATCTGCCCGGTCCCCCATCCCATGCAAGGAAAGCTGAGTCCCTGGGAAGTGACCTGGAGGGGAATGACAGGACAGGATGCAGGCTGCTGCCTCCTCACATGACCTCTTGGAGAGACCAGCAAAGCCCTGAAGGGAAGGGAGGGGGTTGTTGGCAGGGGCAGCCAGACTGCTGAGACCCCACCCAGTTCTAAGGGCCCGTTTCTCCCTGAGAGGTGAAGGATGCTGTGGTTAGGTCCTGGGAGCCATACAGATCTGGATTGATGCCCTGTTCTACCACTCACTAGCTGTACGGCTCTCAAGTTGCTCGATTTTTCAGGTAGGGGTCAAGACAGTACCTGTCTCAGAGAGTTGAGATAGATGCTTGGGAAAGAGTGCTGCACCTGACACCAAGGAGGTATTCAAGAAACAACTAGTATGACGACCTCTCCCTGTGCTTACAGACCAAGCTAGCCTAGCATGTTTTTGCATGTGAAGATACAGTCACCATCAGGGGCTCTCTCCTCTGCAAAGGAAGCTCGGTTGTGCAAACCTGTCTGGAAAGGGCAGGTTGTGTTCCAGCTCCTGCTGTGCCCCATCCTCTCCCCACTGCCCAGGGCCCGGGTGCAGCTTGACCCTGAGTTGTAGGCTCTGAGGCTAACTGGTATCCTCCTGCTTCCCCACAGACCTGCGCAGGATGACGGCCGGCTTCATGGGCATGGCGGTGGCCATCATCCTCTTCGGCTGGATCATCGGCGTGCTGGGCTGCTGCTGGGACCGAGGCCTTATGCAGTATGTGGCAGGGCTTCTCTTCCTCATGGGAGGTAAGGCCGCAGGCTTTGGGGGTGGGGGTGGGGTGAATGGGTCCTTGTTACTGGGATTCTAGGAGAATGGCAAGGAGGCATGGGGATGAAGGCTGCCACTCTGGTATGGCTCTTCCCATTCACTCATCAAACATCTTTTTAGTTCCTCTTAGCCCCTCACCACTCACCATTGCGCCAGCTGCTGGAGATGCAAAGACTAATAAGGCATGGTCCTTACCCTTGGGGGTCTGACTGGCTGGTGTGGGAGAGACTGTGTGGCTATGGCATTGAGAGAGGTATGAGACCTGGAGTGAGCATGAACCCAGGAAACACTCAGGCATTTTATACATATGCTAGACTTGGGGGTGGGAAGGTGCTAATTGAGCAGATTCCCCTTCAAAAACCTATCTTCATCCTTGATTTATGGGCCCTAATGCTGCTCTCTTTTCTACTTTAAAGATGGTGGGTCAGGGCTAGACCTCCCTCAGGGCTAGATCTGTCTCCCTTACTCTGTTACTGTCATGGCCAGAGAACCATGTGCCTCTTTTCTCCCTGAAGAGCTAGAGTGTGCTGTTTGGTCTCCTGGTTTGAGTCTCAGGCCAAAGCTGGAGCTAACCATTGGGTTTGCCCATCGCAGTCTACTCCTCAGAGAAAAGTGGGTGGATGAATGGTGTGGCACTAGGTGGAGGGGGACTGGGCTTGGACAGAGGGAATTAGAAATATTTGTGGGAAGAAAGAAAGTGAGTCCTACATATGGAAACAAACGCCAATTAGACTTTAGGCACCAGGAGCGTATGCCCAACTCAGGTCCCTTTGGTGAACAGCCTGACTCTAGGTTTCTGAGCAGAGATGGGAAGTGGAGGAATGAGTCAAGTTGAGAAAAGGGGTGGCTGTCCCTCTAGGTGTGCAGAGATCTCTGGGAGCTAGTGAGCTGTGGGTTGGGAGAGGAGGAGAAATGCAGGATTCGTCTGGGGGCCTGGCAGTTGGGTCCCACACCTGCAGTTAAGGCAGGGGCTGGGGGAGGGAGGGCACAGGTGACAGTTCCCACATCCCTCCTTCTGGTATCCTACAGAGACAGAGGCCCACCAAACCATCCCCGCTTATCTTTTCCACTCCTCAGCATCCTCCTCAGTGAAACTGGGGGCCAAAATTGGCCCAAGACTCCTGGACTCTGTTTTTGCAGCAGTGGAATCCTTTTTGTTTCCACTTTCCAATCAAAATCATCCATGGACCCCGAAATGGAAAAAGATAAAGTGGAGTGGCTCTGTTTGTAGTGAGTGTTCTCTCTAAGACTCTTTTGGTTATCCAAAGACGGGCTCCAGTAAAATGGGGCTTTTCTAAAGCTCTAGAGAGGTCCCCCAGGAATCCAAGAAAAGCTGAGCAAACAGGCCTGGGGCAGAACAGGAATCCAGGAGCTCGGGAGCTGGCGCTCTTTCATCTCAGCTTCTTTCAAGGTGTTTGCAGCTCCACGCCCGTGTTCTCCTCTCTCCTGTCTCTCCAGCCCAGGCAACAGCTCACATCCTGCCCAGGTGCTAAGTCTCTAGGACACTTCAACTCTGACACCTTCCTTCTGGGCTGCTTCAGTCAGCTTCCAGAGAAAGAGAGAGAATGTGATTGGCCCACACTGCTGGTCAGACAATAAATGGGCCAGGACTGAGCGACCGTGGCTGGGCCAACAGCTGTGACTGGGATGGGGTCACTGGGATACTTCCTGCTCACCTGAGACCTTGGGTGGGAACTCTCTCCCAGAAGGGGGTGTAGGCAGACAGTGAGGGGCAGGAGGGTGCCCGGAGACCTGTCCCCCACTCACTGAGGGACCTCCCAGAGGCCTAGAGCTCTGGGGAAGACAGGCTGAAAGCCCTTGGGCGTGATGAGGAATCTGAGGCCCCTCCCCACAGGGTCACTGAGTGAGAGCCTGGCTTGTCTTTTGCCTGGGTAGCGGTGCTCAATCAGCGCACATTTGAATCACCTGGAGAGCTTTTAACAAATACAGATGCAGGGGCCCCAGCCCAGACCAATCCAAAAGAACCTCTGGGGATGATCCTAACGTACAACCAGGGCTGAGAGCTAGCACAATAGATGAACTTTAAAGTTCTCTCCAGCCCTCAAGTGTTATGGTTCCAGGGATGAACCAGTTGGCCAAGATCTCTCACGGTTTGTTTTCTTTCTTCCCTGCATTCTCCCCAAGCCCTGCAGCAAGAGATGGGGAAGTGCTGTAACGGGGTTTCAATTATTGTTGTGGAGACCCATGTGAGCCCTGACCACTGAGGAGCCCAGCTAAATCTGCTCTTCTAGGACATGTACTCTGTTTTTTTAATGGGAAAACCATAGTTCACGATAAAATATTAGCATCAAGAAGAGCTTCGGGCAATTGCTGTTCTAAGAGCTATTTCTTACTGAGTGGGGCCCAGTCCCGGTTGGAGCAAAATCATCCCATCCACCCTGGAGTTTTGTTACCTGTGTTCACAGGCAGATCCCTACCCTCCTAAAAGGCTGGAGAGAGAGGTGGTGTCCATACACCTCATGGGTACCATCAGGCCAGGCCCCAACAGGAGGGCAAGGAGGGCAAAGCCACTAAGAGCTGATCTCTTGAACTGTAGTCTTTTTGGGAAAACAAAGCTCTTCGGGGTGGGAGGACTCTCCTCCTTCTCAAGCTAGTGTCCTCTCCAACTAGGCCAGACACAGCCATGGGAGTCCAGATTCCCAGAGCAGCTGCCATCTGCTGACCCCCTGCGTCTGGTTCAGTTAGGAGCTAGGGAGGGGCAAACTCAGGAACAGAAGCCATGCTTCTTCCATCCCCGCTCAGCGGAGAGAGCTAAACTGAGAGGCTGGGGTGTCAATCCTGAAATGGTGCCTTGACCTATAGAACCCTGGGTGCCAAAAAGAGACTTTTCAGCACCGACCCCTCCCAGAAGCTGTCGTCTGGGAGTAGACCTTCTAGAGTTGACCTGTTGAAGAGCTTGGAGAGTCAGCTGCTTGTGATAGCCACCTCATGAGCACAGCAAAATAGTCTTTCAAACTACAAATATTTATGGCAAAGTGAGAGAAAAAGGCCTGCGGCCTTAGCTTTTACCCAGAGAGGATTTCAGCATCTGTAACTGAGCACAGACAGGTGCCCAGGCGGTTAGATTGGGTGACGAGTGAGAGCAGCTGTTGGGGACCATAGCAGTGCTCGGGAGCTGGCCAGGCACGGGCGTGGTGAGCGGGTAGAAAAGGAGGAGTTGGCAAGAGTGAAACAGGTAAATTTGGAGCCAAGAGTCGGAAGATGGAATTGCAGTTGACTTTAGATGAAACTACCTGGGCCAGAATAAAAATGGAAGAATTCTGTTAACAACCTTTTCTCTGTTCCAGTATGAAGGAAGATGGCTCACAGTGGGTACTGCTCTGTTCCAGATTTAACTATTTCCCAGGTTAAAGCGAGGGCATCTCACAACTTGTGAAATAACTAGCAACAAATTGTTTAATTAACGCTCAACTCAGAGGAGGCAATTAAGTAGGGCAGCTCTGACAGGCCAGGAGGCTGGGGGCGGTGGGTGGGATCCAGTTTCCCCTTTGGCAGGGCCTCCAGGGGAGAATCTAGCCCAGGCTGGCACAGCACTATTCAGGTCCCAGCAACTGCCACAGACAAGTGTCTTGAGTCATCAGTGGTATCCATCATAGGAACAGGATGACACAGAGAAAGACAGCATGGCGAAGGAGCGTGTGACTGCTATGGTTACTGGTTATTCACTCACTGGCTGAACCTCAGAGCTACCTCATGGACACAGATCTACAAGATAAGTGTGAGCATCCAGCCCATGCCCATCTCCCTACCACCCCCGGGACCCCTCTCACACGTCTTCCCACATTCTTAGAAGACTCCATCATCTCTGCCAACACCTGGGTCTAAGCCTCCCTGAGCTCTTGTTCAGGCTAATTCTGGAGCCTCCTATCCAGATGTCCTGACTCCACTCTGGCACCCAACAGTCAGTCCTTCACAAGGTAGTTAGCATAATTTTTTAAAAACTATAAATCGGATATGTCACTCATCCCTTATCAGTGCTCTAAATGCTTCCCGTTGAACTTAAAATCCAAATTCCTTACCCTTCTTTAGAAGCTGTCTTAGTCAGCTCGGGCTGCTAGAACAACATACCGGAAATTGGCTGCTTATAAACAACAGAAATTTATTTCTCGCAGTCCTGCAGTCTGGGAAGTCCAAGATCAAGGTGCCGGCAGATTCAGTGTCTAGTGAGAACCCACTTTCTGGTTCTCAGATGACGCTTTCTTGCTGTGTCTTCTTGTGGAGGAAAGGGTGAGGGAGTTCTCTGTGGCCTCTTTCTTAATGGCGTTAATACCATTCATGAGGGTGCCATTCTCATGACCTAATCACTTTCCAAAGGACCCTCCTCCTGCTACCATCACATTGGGGGTTCGGATTTCAAACTATGAGTTTTAGGGGCACCCAAACATTTATTCCATAGCTGAAGCCCTGTGTAATCTAGCTCATACTTCCTCTGTCCCCTGCTGTCCTGTATCTTCCCCTACACTCACGCCACTGCTCTTCTGTCCTAGAACACACGCAGTTGTACCTCAAGGCCCTGGCACTGGCTACTCCTTTTGCCCACAGTGCTTTCCCCTCCAGTATCTCCTGCTGGCTCCTGCTTCAGATTCAGATTCCAACTTAAAAGTCAGCCCTTCAGAAAGGGCTTCCTTGACCTCCTAATTTAATGAGACCATCCAGTCACTCTACATTTTAATTGATTTAATTTTCTGCAGCACACTCACTACTTTTTAAAATATTTGTTGTCGTTTTGTTTTTGGTTGGTTTTTCTGGCAGCTTAAAACAAACATTTATTATCTCACAGTTTGCATGGATCAAAACTCCAGGCACAACTTAACTGGGTTCTCTGCTCAGGGTCTCACGAAACTGAAATCAAGGTGTCAGCCAGGGCTGGGGGTCTCCTCTGAGGCTGAGGTCCTCTTCCAAGATCATGATGTTGGCAGACTTCATTTCCTTGTAGCTGTGGGACTCCAGAAGCTTG